AAAAAATAAAATAAGAGTAATAAAAATAATTTTAGGAAAAGAAATACTTAAAAAGCAGTATTATGAATATTTAAGAAATATTTATGAGGGGAACAGGAGTTGAATGATTTATTAAAGAGACCAATAAATATCTTTTCTTTAGAGATTTAATTTCAAGAGGTTAACACTGCTTGCTTTTAGGCAGTAATTTGAAAATACCATGTTGGTATTTATCATTATCTATCAAAAATATTAATACCTAAGATAGACATAGGGTTTTAATGAAAGTATTATTAATTAACAACATTAGTAAGAGTGACCAACATATTTACAAGAAATTTGAGCTTTTCTGATTTAAAGGGACTTAGAACGTTACCCTAACAATATTAAAACACATTTGGCTATGAGGAAACATTTTTAATTAATGAAGTTCTTTTTTTGGACAGAGGAAAGTTTACCAGACCTTAGGGAAGGCTGAGATATTTGCAAGACATCAGGGTAAATTTTAGGACTAAATGCAAAATCTCTGGAGAAGGTATGGGAAGAAATTACTTGAGGTTTCTTGTGAATTTTTGCTATGGCTTGATCATAAATACCATGCAAATATCCTTTGTCAGTGTGTTTTGGCAGTTCTTCCAAGGAGATCGAGGAGTGAAGAGGATTATAGAAAAACAGAAAAGAAAATGAGGTTGATTTTAGACTAGAAAAATGCAGTGAGGAATTTTATAACTTTCTAACAAATTTTCTACCTCATCTCTGATTCTGCTATACAGTATTACAAAATCTTTGTAAAAAACAAAAATGCAGACTTCCAAATAGAATCAAAACATTTTCTTTCCGGACAATTTTGAGAGTATCCAAAATTTAATTCCATCATTCTTTCTAGAATTGTAACAATCAGGGTGTTTTGGAGTCTAGTAGACCGAAACACAACATAGCCTAAGGTAGAAGAGGGGATTCTTTGCTCTCCGGGAGGATACAGGGCTGACTGACCTCAGGAATAAGTGTGGTTAGAAAACTGCTGTCGTGGCTTGTCATCTTGTCTCTGCTTTTCTTTAGGTATCTGCTTCATTTTCTCTCTTCGTAAATTTTCTATTTTACATGGGATTTATCAGGTCTTTCATTCTACATCGTATAGTTGTAGTCACTTGGAAAATATAAATCTGCCTTGGTGCTCTCTTTGGAAACAAATCCTAAAATCACGGGAAAGAGATTGAAACTCAGTGGGATTCTTGACTACCTGGACCAATCTATGGTTTGACCTACAGGATGGAGCGCTAAGATCATTTCACTTTACTTCAAGTGCCGATTGATCCGCTGCATCTAGCAGAGCAGGATCATGCAACAACATGGCAGCTGTCTTGAGTACCATAAATCTTAGCAATAGCGACAGTGGGGAACCATCCCAAGCAAAGGAGAATGTTGTGGTACTGAGCAGAGAAACCATTTACTAGTAACCATATGTTACTAGTATCCATACCAAGATTAGGGAAAATCACATTTCATCCATGATGGTTATACCTAGTTCATAGAAGGCTAGCTCTAACCCACTTAAGTGACTCTAGATATTAAGATATATAACTAATAGCATATCTACACCACATGAAGAAAAATCCTGATAGAGCAGATAGATTTAAATGATTGGCTTTCTTCGTGAAACCCTTTTTGAATACTCCCCTGAGCCCTATCAAATTCTTGCAAGAACTTATGATCACAACTACACAGTTTATCGCATAATTGTTCTACAGTTATTTGAATAGTAGGTCTAGGTTCCTACACCTAACTATAGGTGTCTTATCTTATGCTTCCTTTCTTTAGAAGACTTCTGCACCAAGATTAGTGTTAAGGACATAATTTATTCCAGATTCATTCCATAAATGATTCTTGAGTGCCTACTAATTTCTAGGCAATATATTTGATGCTCAGGCTACAAAGATGATCAAAGATGATCCTTAACAAGAGCACATGATTTGATATCTTTTGTCCCCATCACACTTGACATAGAAATCTAGTATGGCCAGATTTGATTTACTGAATGAATTGCCTCTCCAAATACCAGTAGTGTATCTAGATGCAGTTTAGTTTGCCTATCCAGAAAAATCAGAATTTTCCTCCCTTTTAAGCTGAAAGGCTATTAATGCAAATCCAATTGAATTTGCATTTGATTACATTTCTGATGGAAACATTCATATGCAAATAAAAATTCATGCAAAGATAGCCAGATAATTCAAATACTTGCTGAAATATCAGGATAAAATTAGGATGATATTAAATGTATATCTATCCATGTTTACTGGGTTACACTAAGGATCTTCAACTGGGACAGTGTTCTTGAAAAATTAAAATAAATCATGTCTTAAACATTTGACAATGTTTAACTGGATCTGAATTTGGAAAATCACTACCACCTTACTTTCTACTGCCATGGTGCTAATAAAGAAATCAATCCCTGATCAAATCCGTTGTTAAAAAAAGGTTTATTTTGGATCCACCCATTTTGTCCCCTTTATCTTTTCTTGCACTTAAAAGGCGACTTTTGATAGATCTGAAGTTATTTTGATGATCCAAAACAATGAATAAGTAGTTTGTGCAAGCTGGCATTTCCTTCATACCTCCCTAGTGCAAGTTAAATGATATCATCACAGTCACCACCAAGGATCCTTTGGAAAACATCCATGGCAGCTTGAATAGATCAGAGGGAAAGTGATCTTAATCAATGTCCATATTTTACTTAGAAAAGGTGTTAAGACTGAAGATTCTAAGAGAAGATTTAAGCAAAATTTCAAGATACAAAATCTTAATCTACTATTGCACCTTCCAAACCTCTCTTTGAAGGAGGTCCTGGAATTAGACCATTGCTCTTGTTAAAATTAACAGAAGTTAGTGGCAAAAGAGAAACATTTGAGATCACAGTATTCAGATTGTTAGCACTTAGTTTAAGTCTACAAAGTGTAATGCTCCCAGTTTCCTTTTATTTGATCCAATGTATTCATTCATAGTTTCAAATCTTTTTTAGAATGCCTGTGCTTCCTGCGTTGCTGATGTCACTTAACCATCTATCAGATTCGAAAAGTCTTAAACCTAAAAGGGGTGGGGATCTTCACCATTCCCTCATTGGCACATCCAAGCTTTCCCCAAAACTAATCCAACCACTTCTTATAATCTCCCTCACCATTTTTGTGACCTTTATCTTTTGCCCAATCAATGGCAAGAGACTCCTAACTGGTTTCCCAGGGTCTGCTTTCCTCTTCATGCAGTCCCTATCATACTGTAACCAGGGTTGTCATTTGAAAATGCAGATAACCCATAATTTCACCCCACCATCTTTCCTGCTTGATATCTTTCAGTGGCTTCCTGCTTCTCTTAGAAGAAAATCCAGATCCTTAACAGGACTAGCACACACTGCAGGGTTTGGTCCCTACCTTCCTCTTTACCCTTACATCAAGCTCCTTCTCTCCACATTCTAGCAAAGTCCTTTCAGATTCTGAAATGGTCCATGTTCTTCCCAGTCACCACTGTTCTACCTTAGCTTCTAAAATTAGTTAACTTCATGCTTCTCAGTTAAGGCTTTCCCGAGCTTCCGGACTCCATCAGGTCCCTGTCAAGTCCCCCTGTTACTTCTGTAATACCACCATGTAACTTTCTTTCATAACACTTATTTGAGTTTGTATTATTATAACTATCTTTGAGACAATATCAGTTGTAATGATCATTTTCATGGCTTCCTGAAGAATGAGGCTGGATCTCTTTTTTTGCTTATCAAAACAAAACATGATGCCTATCACATACATACCAGGCATTCAGTAAATACTTATTGATTAATGGAAGGTTCCACTTTCTAGTCTTCTTATAAACATTCATAACAGTAAAAGCCAAAAATAAAAATTGACTGGCTTGCTTGAACATCACCCTGCCACAAATTGCTGTGGAGAATTAGGATGACAAATATCAATACTGTAGTATCTTTTATGACAGAGAAGGTGAGATGAAGAATGTAGTGAGATCAAGCTTTACTGTCCTCAAAACCTATGAAAGTTTGGCCTCACCATAGATTGTATGAGCAAAGGATTATTCTTCACTTATTTCCTGTAGACAACAATGTGGCACCCACTTTCCCAACACTGACTTATGCGTAAAAGTTTTTACTTAGGATATTTAAGCCACAATTTATTTCAAAAACATAGCTAGTAGTTTCCAATATACAGTCTTGGGACACAAGTTGCTAACATTGGTTTACACCTGTTATTCATGTCATGGGAACAGAGTCATAAAAGTTAAAAGTCATATCAAAATCATATTGCAAGATAGCCAGTTTCTTGACTCGATCTGTTACTTTTTATTTCTATCAGTGTGAGCTTAATTTTATTTTCAACAACTTTAAAATATTGAGCTAAACATTGAAATTTCAAGAAAAGGTAAACTCCAACATTCCTTGAATTTTTTTTAACAATCTCATTATTATCTCTCCAGGAATATCCATCCTTCTACATCTCTTGAACTGTGTAGTCCTGGTGGTCTGTGATGTTCAGAGAGTGGAGGGCTAAAAGCTTACATTTAGCAACAGAATGTATATGTGATGAGGAACGTTAAGTTTAGTGGACTATAAAAAATTAAATACACCTTTCTTTAAAAAAAGAAAGTTTTATATATATTATTAAAGTAGCTTTGAGCTCATATTATCTCCCATGTTTATGGATCTTAGAATATAGTTCTTTTTTTCATTTTCCCTGAAAAACATTTTAAAATGTCTGTCATTCTTTGCAAAGCACACAGACTCATCTTCCAGGAAGAGGAAAATAAAATATGCCTATTTAACTTAGAGCAAAGTGTTCTCTTTTTTTTACATATATTATGAGAATAACCATTCGATCAATAAGTGGTCATCAGCAACATTTCCTACAAATAAACTAGGTATTTGTAGTCTTTTTGCAAGTCCATGTGTCTTACAGTGATGTAAGCAGACGGAGGCTCCTGGGAAGAAGGTCCTGAAAAGACATTTCTTCTTCTTTTTACCATTTCAGTTAAGAATGCAAATTGCACATCAGACTTTGAGGAATACTTTGCCAAAAGAAAACTGGAGGAACGCGATGGTCATGCAGTCAGCATCGAAGAGTACCTTCAGCGCAGTGACACAGCCATCATTTACCCAGAAGCCCCCGAGGAGCTGTCTCGCCTTGGCACGCCAGAGGCCAATGGGCAGGAAGAAAATGGTGAGGCTGTAATTCATTTTTAGCCACGACGCTGACCTCTGCAGCTGTTAGAATTACAAATGCACTACATGCCTGGGTGTTTACCTTAAAATTTGAAGAACAGCTGCAGAGGCATGGAATTTCATGAGCAAAGATTAGAACTGTAATTTTAGGGTATTGTGAAATTTTTTTGTCAGCAAATTTGTGTCATCTGTACATCCAATAAAGAACAAGAACAATTAGAGCCTATTTCTAAGAGATAAAAATATCTACATGGATTCCTATCTTTCCGAAATATTTCACTTTTGAGGGGAAAAAAAAGTTTAGAGATTCTGACCCTCACCTTTTGTTCTTCTTTACTGGTATCCAAAAAGCTCCTTCACCCCATGAATCCCTGAGTCATCTGTGACTAAAGGTTTCCTACGAACTGTCAGTCACCTAAAGAGAATTTCCTTATTTATCAGCTGTTTAAATTTCCCCCCCAAATGCCCCAGTAATTAATTAATTTTCCAGCGCAGTGTGAGCTGATGCCGACAAGTCTGTCCTGGGTGTGCAAGGGGACTGGCGTGCACAGAGGCCGCGCGCGCCGACGGCACCCTCGTGGAGCAGATTGCGGTGATTCCTGTCATAGCATCCCGGGCAGTCAGCCCATTAGCTGCCATTGATTTACTGACCTTTTGGCCCGCTTCTCTCCCTCTCGTCTCTCGGCTACAGACCTGCCACCTGGAACTCCAGATGCTTTTGCCCAACTGCTGACCTGCCCCTACTGCGACCGGGGCTACAAGCGCTTGACATCACTGAAGGAGCACATCAAGTACCGCCACGAGAAGAATGAGGAGAACTTTTCCTGCCCTCTGTGCAGCTACACGTTTGCCTACCGCACCCAGCTCGAGCGGCATATGGTGACGCACAAGCCAGGGACAGATCAGGTGGGGGGTTGGTTTTAAGTGATTTCTTTCTATAATAACCCCTTAGAGAAACGATATTGCTTTGATTGGCAATCATTATTAATTTTTCATGGCATTTTGAAGATGCAGATCTTTTAATGGTAATAGCTTTAATTGAGGTCTAAATGATTTTTTGATGGTCTCTTCTAATATGATTTAATAGTCTTATGTTCACGATCGAATGAGTGTGTTAATTTCTAATTTAGAAATTTTATTTGCACTTTAACTTGACTTTAGTTTCATTTTTATGTTCCACAAAAAGTGAATGAAATTGTAGCATTTTAATTATACATTATTAAACATCTCAGCAATTTTAATCCCATTTTTCACCTAGTTTTACTTAGTTTTTTTTTTTTCCATGTAAAATCTAAGTCATAGTAAAAGAAGTATGTATTCTTTCCATTGGTCACATAACATCTTCAATTACTTAGGCTATTTTTACAAGCTGCTACTAGTTTATGACATCTAATTAAGTGTTTTAAGGAAAATCAAAAAGCACATAATACATATGCATGCTTATATAAAATAAACTGTATTAATACTCAAATGTGTATATGCAATAAAAATGATCCTTTCTTGATATTCATATTTGTTGCTAAATATTAAAATTACTCTGCCATTTGGATTACTTGTGTTCAAAATAAAGACTCTATCTTCAACACTATAGCTTCTTAAGTCCTTAAAATGATTGAATAGGTTTGATTCACAGTGTCCCTTAAATGTTTTAGCAAAACTGCTTTTTCTGTCCTCCTGGGAGAGTTCATTGCAGATTGATATTATGAGGTGTTCAGATGGTAACACAACTGATGTGCCTTAAGTCTCAATATCTGGCCCTACAGTTGTGGAATCACCGTATATAAACCTTGACACCATATCTGTTTTGAAAATTATTAAACAAGATATTCTCTAAAATTCTTATGGGCTTTATTTTCTTTGAATAAGGGAAATGAGAATAAGCAAACACAATCCAGCAATGGCAATGATACTGGATTATGGAATTTCATTATTTTAAGAAAATAGCTCATGTAAATCATTTCATTCATATCTCATTGAACTTGCCACCTGCATGTTTTTTCAAGTTCAGTTGTAAAAACCCCACTTGCCTAGTTACACTTATGTAACAGTTTCTCTCCCCTTGCTTATATGCACAAAAACTCCAGAAAAAAAAAAGTGCCTAGATATTTATCTAGCATAACTGCTTTAAATTTCACATGCAGAAGTGTGATTGTGCTGGCGCATTATGAATGGTAGCTTTGGTGTTGAAAAGTCCCCTCATTTGCTCATGGCATTTACAATTAGTAAATTAAAATGATTGTATCATATTAACAGTGGCACAACTAAAGTTTATAGTAGTCCTCTGAGGGCTGTGGGGGGAGGCAAAGCAGCTGTTGCTGTTTGTTTATGCAACTCAGCAACATATGAGCGCGGGTCCCTCAATGGCGCTCGGCGGGCTGGGCTCCGCTTGATCTTTGAAGGTTGCTGCTGTTTGAACAAACCTCCCCGTGTCCCATGTAACACCATCTGTCTCACTAGGAATGTGGGAAGATTCAGCACACCCTAGCAGTTGTCATACCGTTTCTGTACTGTCTTTTTTGCAAAAGGCTTTTGTGTCATTGCTGCTTGAAAAAGGCTGGCCTCCTACCTTGAACATCCAGAGTGGATGACTGTATTTCTTTCTTTCTTTTTTTTTTTTTTTTTTCAGAATTCTAAGTCACAGTGCTTTTTTTCCCTTGTTCAAAAAGGTCAGCTGTGTTTGATTATATCTTTGCTGCTTTTAACTTGTCTTTTCAGCAAACTTTTTTTCTTTTTCGTCCCTACTCCCTAGCACACTACTAAAGAGGAAAATGACAGGTCGTTGAAGTCTTTCCTACTGGCCTGTGATAAAACTGCTCAAGCAGTTCTAGCCCAAGATGTTGTCTCTTACATTTGATAATGAATCAAATCTTATATGCAACATCTCAGGAAAAACAGGGTTTATAGTTGCTACTAGCACTGTGAATGGGGTATTTAAACATGCTTATTATGTAATGAAATATTTATAATCAAGAATTTTTTAATTTATGTGAGATTTTTTTCTTTCTTCTTTAAAATTAGTATTGCTTCAGTATAAGATATGTTTTTACCTCAATACAGAAAAGAAAAATGAGTTATTTGTGTGGTGAGTTCTTCGGGGAGACTAGGATTTTGAGTATAATATTTATTTTTTTCCTTGACAAAATCATTGCGTTCCAACAGGGAATCTTCAGATTTTAGAATCTGCAGTAAACACAGAGAGCCACAAACATCTTTGCAATTATGCTTTCTCATCTCCAACGGCTCAAAGAAACATTTTGGAAAAGAGACTACAGAGATAATTCTAAAGCAAGTGTTGGATGCGCATGTGAAAGCACTTTTTTTTTATTTGTTCCAATTTTATTGCCAACATTATCACTTTTATTGCAACTCTGAAAGACTGGGCAAATAAATAAACATGCACTCAAACCTTTTGGCCTGTCTGAAAATAGAGGCCTTTTAAAAATATTTGTAACAAGTTTCCTTTGTTCCTCCTGCACAAAACTGATGTCAGTCTTTCTCCTTTTATAGCACCAAATGCTGACCCAAGGAGCAGGTAATCGCAAGTTCAAATGCACGGAGTGTGGCAAAGCCTTCAAATATAAACACCATCTGAAGGAACACCTGCGAATCCACAGTGGTGAGTGGTAGGGGAGCTGGTGCGTGTTTTTGCATTTTGTTTCATTAGGAGCCTTTCTAAAGATTGTATAAAATGTACACAATTCTGTTTGTAGTTTTTTAGAACTACACATTTATGTCATAAGCTTTGTGTGCCCGCTTTGTCTTTGTGAGCCTCACAGTACCACCAACAGCACTGCTAATAAGAGGAGGAGTGCTTATACTTGAAAATTGCACATGTTTTGCCTTCTTGTGAAATCTAGAAGGTCCTTTTGGTCCTTTAAAATGTTTTTGACCTGAAGAAACTCAGCTGGCAAGTTCTGAAGGATATTCATTTTTTGATACCCAAACTTGAAAGAAGAATGTGGAAGAATTTTGGATAAGAGCTTTTGTATGATAAGTGTTCCTTGATTCCTGAAAGCTGTATTTTCAGAACAACATCTTACCACTGAGATTTCTTCTTTATAACTATTTTGATAGCTCTGCCAAGCATTTTATTACCAAATTGGATGCTATTCAAAGGACTAGTTGGATTGGTAGAATCAATGGAATCTTCACAGAGTTGATTAAAGCCATGGCTACACTTCCCTTTAAATACTGTGACATCTTTATTGTGCTATTGACCACACATTAATCTAACACTCTGTTTAAATAGGAGGCTGCCGATGGCAAGACAAAATTTTGGATCTTGGCTGAAAAAGGCACAGATAGCCCTCACCTTCCATTGCTAACATCTTGAATTATGTCCTCCCAGGGTAGATAAAGCCTAGAAACAGTTATAGCCACATAATTCTAATCTAAGCACCTAGAATGGAGAGGTGCCCCATTGTGTTCCTTTCCTTTGATTGCACAGATTCTTGCCTGGGTAGATGATTGCAATTGTTGCCCCATCAAAAAGAACAAAAAAAAGTAACATTCATTTTAATTGTCATTTTAGGTGAAAAGCCGTACGAGTGCCCCAACTGCAAGAAACGTTTCTCCCATTCTGGTTCCTACAGCTCACACATCAGCAGCAAGAAATGTATTGGCTTAATCTCTGTAAATGGCCGAATGAGAAACAATATCAAGACAGGTTCTTCCCCTAATTCTGTTTCTTCTTCTCCTACTAATTCGGCCATTACCCAGTTAAGAAACAAATTGGAGAATGGAAAACCACTTAGTATGTCTGAACAGACAGGCTTACTTAAAATTAAAACAGAACCACTAGACTTCAATGACTATAAAGTTCTTATGGCCACACACGGGTTTAGTGGCACTAGTCCTTTTATGAATGGCGCACTTGGAGCCACCAGCCCTTTAGGAGTTCATCCGTCTGCTCAGAGTCCAATGCAGCACTTAGGTGTAGGGATGGAAGCCCCTTTACTTGGGTTTCCCACAATGAATAGTAACTTAAGCGAGGTACAAAAGGTTCTACAGATTGTGGACAACACAGTTTCCAGACAAAAAATGGACTGCAAGGCTGAAGAAATCTCCAAGTTGAAAGGTTATCACATGAAGGATCCATGCTCTCAACCTGAGGAACAAGGAGTTACTTCTCCTAATATTCCACCCGTAGGTCTTCCAGTAGTAAGTCATAATGGTGCCACTAAAAGTATTATTGACTACACGTTAGAAAAAGTCAATGAAGCCAAAGCTTGCCTCCAGAGCTTGACTACTGACTCAAGGAGACAGATCAGTAATATAAAGAAAGAGAAGCTGCGTACTTTAATAGATTTGGTCACCGATGACAAAATGATTGAGAACCACAACATATCCACTCCATTCTCCTGCCAGTTCTGTAAAGAAAGTTTTCCTGGCCCCATTCCTTTGCATCAGCATGAACGTTACCTTTGTAAGATGAATGAAGAGATCAAGGCAGTCCTGCAACCCCATGAAAACATAGTCCCCAACAAAGCCGGAGTATTTGTTGACAATAAAGCCCTCCTCTTGTCATCTGTACTTTCTGAGAAAGGAATGACAAGCCCCATCAACCCATACAAGGACCACATGTCTGTACTTAAAGCATATTATGCTATGAACATGGAGCCCAACTCTGATGAACTGCTGAAAATTTCCATTGCTGTGGGCCTTCCTCAGGAATTTGTGAAGGAATGGTTTGAGCAACGAAAAGTCTACCAGTACTCAAATTCCAGGTCACCATCACTGGAAAGGAACTCCAAGCCGTTAGCTCCCAACAGTAACCCTCCCACAAAAGACTCTTTATTACCCAGGTCTCCCGTAAAACCCATGGACTCCATAACATCACCATCTATAGCAGAGCTCCACAACAGTGTTACGAATTGTGACCCTCCTCTCAGGCTAACAAAACCTTCCCATTTTACCAATATTAAACCAGTTGAAAAATTGGACCACTCAAGGAGTAATACTCCTTCTCCCTTAAATCTTTCCTCCACGTCTTCTAAAAACTCCCACAGTAGTTCTTACACTCCAAACAGCTTCTCATCTGAGGAGCTCCAGGCTGAGCCTTTGGACCTGTCGTTACCAAAACAAATGAAAGAACCCAAAAGTATTATAGCCACAAAGAACAAAACGAAAGTTGGCAGCATAAATTTAGACCACAACAGTGTTTCTTCGTCATCTGAAAACTCAGATGAGCCTCTGAACTTGACTTTTATCAAGAAGGAGTTTTCAAATTCAAATAATCTGGACAGCAAAAGTGCTAACCCAGTGTTCGGCATGAATCCCTTTAGTGCCAAACCTCTCTACACAGCTCTTCCTCCACAAAGCGCGTTCCCCCCTGCCGCTTTCATGCCACCGGTCCAGACTAGTATCCCTGGACTGCGACCATACCCAGGACTGGATCAGATGAGCTTCCTACCACACATGGCCTATACTTACCCAACTGGAGCAGCTACTTTCGCTGACATGCAGCAAAGGAGAAAGTACCAGCGGAAACCAGGATTTCAGGTAATGAGACATTTTTTTTTTTAATCAGAAGAGAGGAGGTGAAAATTATATCGCTTATGTGTATGTAGGAAAAAAATCTGAGTGGAAAAAAACCTATTGCTGTGTTCTCAGCAGAAATAGAAGAGTGGGTTTGAACTTGAAGCTAAAACTGAGTGGGCTAGACAAATAAATGGAGAAACAGTGGGACCCTTTCTATCAAGCAATTGTGCCTTAAGAAAAGATAAAGAACTTAATATTTATCATTAGGGTTTATTTAGATTGATCCATCTGCTTTCAGAATTATATGCTGATGTGAGTATTTGGGGGGTTTCCCTGATAGCTCAGCTGGTAAAGAATCTGCCTGCGGTGCAGGAGACTTCAGTTCAATCAGGGTTGGGAAGATCCCCTGGAGAAGGGAAAGGCTACCCACTCCAGTATTCTGGCCTGGAGAATTCCATGGACTGTACAGATCATGGGGTCGCAAAGAGTCAGACATGACTGAGTGACTTTCACTTCACTTCATGAGTATTTTATAGGACTTACATAGAGGCTAAACGTTAACATTTATGACAGTCACATACTTTTAGAGATGCTCACAATTTGCAATAATATGTAAATTTGATGTGCACTTGGTTTCAGAGAGAATAGTTTATTTGGAAGAGTATTTTTTAAAATATTTTTTACATTCCACATGACTTCCTTTGTAGTTTTCAAGCTAGTGAATAATTTATGGTTTTTCAAATATAAAAGCAGGTATATTTTAACATCGTGGAGTAAAATCCCTGTTTACAAAATAGGAGCATAAGTAGCAGGGCACCTCTGTAACAGCTGTTCCAGTATTCCAATTTACAGTACATCTGCCCTCTTTGTAAATGTATTTAAGCCTATTTAATCTTCTCTAATATTAATTAGTGCAAACGTAGTCTAAGAAAAGTGTACTGTGGGCTAGCAAATGGAAATGTATGTTATCATGCAAGTTTGCACTCCTTTGGATCAAGACAAAATAAATATCAAGAAATTTAATAATTTACTGATCCACATTCATTATTGCTCAATGCTGAAGGCTGTTTTAACATAGATAGAACATTGATAAAAAGTGTTATTAATATTCCCTATTTCAAATTAGAAAATTAAATATAAAAATATAGCTCCAGGCCTTTAGTTGGTAGACATACATTTAAATAGATTGCATAATAATAACATTTTGTACCTAAATATAAAATTCAATTAAAATGGGGTTTCTGCAGCTACAGATCATTTCTAAAGTTAAGCACACTGGAAAATATACAAATTCTGATATTTAATTCTCACTCACAGATATTTCCTAATAGAAAGAAAATTAAGGAACATGGGGAAGTTTATGTTTTTCTCACCTTCAGAGTTGAACATTTTCTATCCTTGAAAAACAAAACAAGCTTTACCACCTAGGGCAGAGAAGGTTTATATTTTTGTTGAAATGTGAACCCTCATATATTGTTTATGGAAAGTAAAAGTTTCTAAGAACTAGATGGATTCATAGAGAGCACTTCCGAGATTCTCCAAATGTCAGCCAATGCAAAGTTGTTTGTTATAAACACAAAGAGAAGCGACTGTGTTGAACTATGTGATTATATCACAGGGAGAATTGCTTGATGGAGCACAAGACTACATGTCAGGCCTAGATGACATGACAGACTCCGACTCCTGTCTGTCTCGAAAGAAGATCAAGAAGACAGAGAGTGGCATGTATGCATGTGACTTATGTGACAAGACATTCCAGAAAAGCAGTTCCCTTCTGCGACATAAATACGAACACACAGGTATGAGTGACTTTGACTAGCTAGTTAGAGCTTCCCGGCCTGCTGTACATTTCATAATATTTAATGAGTACACTTGTGCAACATAAGATGTAGCATATGCTGATACCTTCAACAAGGAAGAAATAATGCTTTTGCCTAGCTCAGTAGGACTTTTTTGTTGCCTGTTTATTGGATCATTCATGTGTTTATGAGCCTGCTTGTCTTATATTTTTTGAGTTAGTCTGTATACCAAATTCACAAATCCTGTCAAAGGTGTATTTAAATGGCCAGGGCAACAAAATGACATGACACAAGCCAGCTACAGAAAATATCTTCAAATTCTTAAGCTGTGATGAACCTATATGTGAAAAACTTGAACAATAAAAAATTCAGTTAATGCTGTATTTGTTTCATCATCAAAACATCAAGTAAGCCATGACTGGGGGGGCTGGTATTCAGTTTGGTTTTTACAAATTGGCCATATTTTGAATAAACTAAAAATGTTAGTACTGTGAAAGAAAAGCCATAAGTGAATAATAGGCCAAATGAGCTACTGAAATTACTGATGTTTGGAAGACTAAAATACAACTTTCTAAATGTAGATTATTTCTTTCATGCATTCCTCTTTAGGAAGAATTAAACAGGGTTAGCAAGATAGCCTGATTTTTCCCTATAAGTAGAGAGAGAATGGCTTAATTTTTCAAAAGAAAGCCAAGGGCTGTAAGAAGAAGCAGTATTAGTTCCCAGAATCCAAGATCTGATCTGCTATGTGTGGGAGCCACACCTGTGTTCCCTCCCTCCTTCCCCCTTCCACCCTTAACCAGAAAATAGGGTTCTTAATCCATCTCCAGCTTTTCTCCACCAGAAATGTGGCATGCTGCACTGGGCCTAGGTGGGAAAAGAAAGAATGTAGGATTGCAACCGAAATACTGATGGCTGGAAATTATAGGAAGGTTCTCATTTTAAACCAAGATGTCTAGTATCAAACATTTTAAAAATATAGAGGAAAAAAATTAACCTAACATAAATGTTTTTGGGGGAAAAGTGATGAAGATGCAAAAAAGAAAAACAAAGAAAAGGGAATGTGACTACTTCCTGTCACATTTTGACCATCTAAATCCATAGTACCCTTTTTAGTGATTGAAAAACCATCCTTGGGAAGCATTTGTACTGTCACCTTCCCTTATCCCTCACTGGGCATGTGACAGAGGCAGGACAAGTGACTACGGTCACCTGAGGGTGTGGAAAAGTTGGGTGAGTTTTGCAACATTAAGCATTGAGGGTATTTGTGAAAAGAACAAGGTTGATAAATAACAGCGCTCTTATTTCAACCAGCCCAGTTTTCTTTTTCTTCAATCGTCTGATACTAATTGGTATTATTTTGAAAGTTCTACTAGTGATACCTTAAAAGCAACCTAATTTGAATAGCAAATCCCAGTAGTTTTTATACTTGTGTGACATAATTCAATGTTTGAAATGTCACAGTTTTCTTACATTTGTCTTTTATGATATATATCAATAGATATTTTCTTTAGTACCAAGTCCTATTTATGTATTATAGATTAAATATATTTTCATACCCAAATTTACTTTAATGTCTTCATCAACCTCAAATATATTTTATATCTCATTATTCAGCTACAGTAAGCCAGTAAGCACATCATTGAAGGCATCTTTCCCTCTCTGATTGGTTTTTATTATATGAACATATGCAAACTCTATCATTTACTACATGGTGAGTGGAAAACTTTTATTTTAGTGAGGGCTATTATACATATTGACATCCAGCCAATACCTTTATTTCTTACAAATTAGTCCATAAACTCCAAGGTGTTATAGATAGCTGAGAGACACCAAAGTTGACAAACACAAATATGCATAATCAATTTGAAAAATATACTATACTAAAAAAATGTTCTGGTCCTTTAAGATGTGAGAAAATCAGCTGCCTAGAAACATTGCCTAGCAACAAGATGCTAACCATCCAATGATTTCTCTAAACTTGTGATTAATTATCCTCCTGTTGGCTTCCCAGCTTGTCAAGTTTCCACTGTGTTAACTTTTTTGGTCTCTTGACCAAACATCTCGTGACATTTTCTACTGTCAGTGTATTAGGTTCTATCAAAGTGAAGTTCTTCATGAATTTTCTGTCGCTGTGATATATGTGGAAATTTAGTTCACTTTCCTTCCTAACTGGGCCCCACAAGCCTTTTATTTGTTTATATTAAGCACTAGTTATACTTTGAGAATGTGTTAAAAAGAAAATTATAAATGAGAACCATCTTTGGGATGATTGATTCTAAGGTTGTGAAATGAAGTTGAATGGTCATTTGATTATGTGTTGATTATGAATGTGTCATTGATAAAGTGTATTTGTTACATCTGTCTACAATTTAACATATAAAATAGTTCAAATTAAGAAGGAAATTATGAGCTACTTATTTCAAAATCCTGTGCTCTTTTACCTCGGTCTGTTTATTTCCTAAGCAGACACCAAAAATAATAATGCTTAATTCTCCTTACCAATGGCTCATTGCTTGCTTGCTTTTCCTGGGAATTGGGACTGGGACAGAGAAGAAAACCCTACATAACTGTTGATTTCGATAGAATTAATTGTCACAAACAAGGATTGAGAAATAAAAGATCTGAAACTCTTGTTAAGCACTGTAAAGAATTCACTTATTTAAAAAAAAAGAATTCACTTAAGTTCCACTAAAATTTAAATCTGACATCTATTGAGTACTTTCTCTATTGAGAAAGGTAAGGTACTTTTCTTATTTAGAAAAGTAATTAAAAAATGTTTCTACTTTTGAGTGAAGTTAAAATTTCAAATTACCCAGTCAATTTTGTTTCTCAGTTACATGATAATCTTTTTCGTACCACAAACCTTTCATTTACTAATTTCAGTTATTCTGTCAGGTGAATCATGAACCTTGATATTAGAAAAAAAGAAAACTTACCTCAATATCAGTTTGGATATTTTTTTCTGAATTTTGTTCATGTGGAAACTTAATTCCAGGACATCTTGATTTGAATCAAGTAAATCAATCAAGCAATTTAAAAAGAGATAAATGGCCAAGTCAGTTCCTATTGAAACTGAATGTATTAAATGCTTACCAGTAAAATTTCTGGAGATTAGTAGAATATTTAGTGCAAAATTAGTAGAATATTAAGTGCAGTTCTAAAACTCCTGCTCTCAAATTCTGTCTTTGGCATGACATAATAGCTGAACATTTTATTCTTTTAGGTTGTTGGTTCATAATGTAGAATTAATGTATTTTAATATAACCATATTATTTATGATCAAAAGGACTCCCTTAAAATCAACTGCCTGTAACTATCAAATATCTATGGGCTACGCCTGTGCCTCTGTGGTAAAGAATTCGCCTGCAATGCAGGAGACACAGGAGATGTGGGTTCGATCCCTGGGTCAGGAAGATCCCCTGGAGGAGGGAATGGCAACCCACTCCCGTATACTTGCCTGGAAAATCCCATGTACAGAGAAGCCTGGCAGACTACCATTCACAGGGTTGCAAAGAGTCACACACAACTGAAGTGACTAAGAATGAGTGCACATCAAATATCTATATCTTAAAGACTTCAGTTCAGTGGGCATCCTCAAAGCATATCTAACAGGCCTTGAACTTGTCCTTGAGAATGCTCGTTCAGGACATTGCTCTGTGGTTTGTTCCCTTGGAAAAGAGAGAGCCATATCAACTGTGATGTTTGTTCACAATTATTCACAGAGCTGATCCATGTAGTGAACTAACCAATCAACATTTCTGTGCCCTTGAACTTCTGAGACATTGAGAGGTTGCAGGACAGTTCTGCCCACGTGCACTGTAGCCACTAAAGAACCAAGAAAGATTTTAGTTTTTATCTGCAATTTCTCTTCTCTCCATTCAGATTCATTTCTTCCATGTACTTTGCTCCTGATACATGCATCTTGCTTACAACTTGGGAAATTACTGAACGTGTACTAATAAATACAAATAAAACTATCGAACATTCATTGAGTGCTTACTATGTGCGGTCCTTGAAGTAAACACTT